TTGATGTTATTATTCTAGGGTGAAAAGTTGTATTGAAATGTGTATTTGCAAAATTTAATTATGTAGATAATTAAAGATAAATACATGGCATCTGTGTATTGATACACAATACGATGCTTTATCGACTATTTTCCACCACCCCTACTGAAAAGAGAGGAAACAGTGAATTTGTGGGGGACTACTTTCAGCAGTGGGTGAATACACATTTGCTGCTGTATCCTTGAAAGTATATGTATGGGGCCCATACTCTAAATCTAGAGCAAAGAAAAAGTTGTGCACGATATATAGCAATTTAAAGCCCTAACTTCATATTACAGGTATGTCTGCGCACACACAGATTACTAAGGCATTTGAAGATGTTTTAGTGGATATATAACCACTTCTTTTTAAATGTGCACTCATCACAGTCATTTCTCAGGAGTGGAGACACAGTGGATGATTCATTGATCAACCAATCAACAAAATCTATTCTGATAATCAGTTAATCATCAGAGTCATTTCAAGGAACAAGACTACTGTACAGACTACTTAGCAGCTGTGATTCAGTACAGTGCTGCTTGGAGCTAAATGCTAACTGTAGCATGCTAATATGCTCATTCTGACATTTGACTGTCTAAGTTCAGTGTGTTAACATTTGCTAATTAGCCAATCATGTAGACTGTTATAACTCCATTAAATGGGCATTATTAGTGGTTATCAGCGTCACAGATGTGGGTTAGAAAGGTGCTGCTACGCCCACTGGTCTGTTCAGAGTGCTTTCATCAGCACGATAAATCCCTGCTTGTATCAGGAGCAGTTTTTTGAGGTTCGTTGTCTCTGTGTTAAATGATCATTCATGTCTTGTTATATGCCAAATTTGAGTAAAAGAATCTCTATCAGAGTATTTTTGAATCTTCAAATCTTTTCCCTTTTTGTAAAATGGATGACCCAGTCTGAACTCAGGGGCGTTAACATAAATTCATCCAATCAAATGAGACTCTGGGCGAGTACCTAGCCGCTCATGGGAGGCAAGCATCGTGGTGCATTAAGCACAACCACACACACAAGAGCTTATAGTGGAGTGCTGATTGCTACAAAGCAGTGCGTCTCTTTATACTACATCGGTGTGTGTGTGAGTTTAAGTGCTGAGATATGATGCATCAAGTGTGTCCACCCAGCTGCCATGCTGAGCTCTGGCATCTCATGAAGTCTTAAGACTAATATACTGCAATGTTCCTACTATGTGGAAGTGTATAGTTATTATTCCATTATTCCTCTCAGTTATGATAACTTCTGAGTGACTCACCAGCATCATTGTTAATACTTTGCAGCATGAGTCATCAGTAAAGTTTGAAACATTTCTGCTTTGACCCAAATATCCAGTGATACAAAGTGTTTGTGCTGTTTGTGGGTTTTGCCCTTTCAAATTTGTGGCTTAAAGCAACAGTGTGTAAGATTTAGGGAGATTTAGTGGCATCTAGTGGTGAGGACTGCAGATTGCAGCCAGCTGAAACTTCTCCCGGTTAAAATTCCTTCAGTGTTCATTGTTCTGAAGGTTTTTACCAGGAGCTAAATTATCCACAGAGGTCTCTTCCTCTCTAAAACAAACGGACCAGGTGATTAAAGGCCAATTTATACTTGTGTGTTAGCTTAATGCAGAGCCTATGCCGTAGCCTACGCCATTTTAGAGTAGAAGTCTTTATTGTCATTGTAGCAGAGCAAATTTTCAAAAATCGGCAAATTTTGAGCATTTATACCTATGTGGTGGTGTGTCTGTGCCACTCTGCAATTACACCTCCAAACCACTAGTTGGCAGGAGGCTTTCTGTGAAGTAGGGCTGTCAAAATTGCTCAAAAATGACATACGAATATTCCTTCTAAAAATAACTCATAGGTTCGAACCATTCAAATTTTTTTTTTCGCATTATGTCCACAAGAGGGCAAACTAATACAAGGAAACATACTTGTATATGTATTAATACAAGGAAACATAACTACTTGTAGGTATTTTTATTTCAACATAAACGTCTTTTAAAACATTTACATACCTACACATTAAAACACATAAAACAATTAATATAACATTACGTTAGAAACGACCGCGGACCTCTCGCTCGCCCCCCCTCTCTGACCCGTCAGGCCACACTGCTCGCGGAAGCGCTGTGAAGAGCCTCGAAGCACCGAGAAGCGTAGCTAGTTTCCTTTCAGCGCCCATGTTAATCGATTGTGTCATCCACACTAGCTGCGCTGCGCCGCGCAGCTCCATGGCCGGCTCTGGTCTATTCTCTGAATGTGTTAAGCCGGGTGACGGAGACAACAGCTGGGAGCAGAACCACTTGTCGACCAGCATGGAGAAATACGCGTCTGATGTGAACGGAAGTGCTCCGGCTCGTGCGAGAATTTCGGTGCGCTCAGCACCTCCACGGGCGGTGTGGCCTTATGCAGTGCATTCAGTGCAGCGGCCCAGGCCAACGCCCACTCGCAAAGAGGACAGCTGCGGTGGTGTTTTTTTTTTTCCCTCCACAATCGAATATCAATTTTCACATTCGAAGGTCCATTTTTTTTTCAAATTCGAATTTATATTTGAATTTAGAATATTCGTTGACAGCCCTACTGTGAAGTGCTGTCAAGTTTAGTTGATTCAAAGCACACATTAAACACACATTAAACATGTCTTAATAGAGACAATTTCAAACACAAGTACACAAATCAGCTTCACTATAACTCGCAGCATTCACAGACAAACACTTGTCTTTATCTGGACACATTTTCTCCACAAATACAACATGCTAATGTTATTAGCACAAGCCTATGATATTTGACATTGTAAAAATTAGCTAAGCAGCTAGCGGACTTTTCCTTTACTCATATGAAGCCAGGGACAACAGCAACATTTAACAAAGGTAACGTTACAAAATTCAGCTCCATTACAACTCACAAGGTTCACTGATAAAACAACTGTCTTATACTAAACACATTTTTCAAACAAATACAACATGCTAACGTTATTAGCACAAGCTTATGGCATTTTACATTGTATAAATTAGCCTAGCGAATAGTGGAGATTTCCTCTGCTCATATGAAGCCAGGATAAATCACACACAGGACTTAAAATGCTATTTTTGTGGAGGCTTTATTGTCTCCACAATTTATTGTTTCTTATCTGTGAAATTAAAGTAAATAAAAGCTTTGCTTCCACTGAGGGAAATGGTTTCAGCTTACAGAGACAGACAGGAGGTCTGCGTCACCACAATGTGTAGTTACACTTCTGGTGAGGTGCACGTCAGGCTACGGCGGAGGGTACGGCGGAGGCTCTATCTCGACCCAGAGCCTATGCAGTAGGTTTGATGTTGATCTGACGCAGTATAAATCCCTGTAAATCCCAGTGAAAACACTGAATAAAGCAGTTTTTTACGTTACAAATCTGTGCTTTTCTGACACTTGTTATACTATATTCCATTTCTGTCAGTACATCCCTCTAAATTCTACAAACTGGGCTTTAAGATAATTCTCTAAATTAAATCAATTTAAGGCATTTGCCACATTTTTAGTTACTTCTGGGGAGATGTGTTGCACCAGCTGACCATCACATGCTGTGAGAATCATGCGACAGAGCAGAGCAGGCAGAATTAAATGACAGTTAGCAGTTACGATCATCTGGGGGGGAAATGTCACCAGTGACATCACGACGACACCGCACACAGCAACACTGTAACCATGCCACAGCTGATTGATGATTTCATCAAAACATCGCTCAGCTCTGCCGGCTCATGACGGAGTGTCGAAGCGTCCAAATGTGGCGCCACACACGAGCGGCGAAGTGTATGTTGAAGGGCGACTTTACTACTTACCCTGCACTTATATGCCCTCTGTGTAATGGATACCAAGGCTTAAGTGGTAATGGTGCAATAAAAAAAAGATACAGAGAGAGGAGGAGGAGGAGGAGGAGGAGAGACAGAGAAAGGAGGAAGAGGGAGGGGAAGAGAGAGACAGAGAGGTAGGAGGGGCAGGAAGATGAAGGAGAGGAAGGAGACACAGAGGCAAGGAGACAGGAAGGGAGAGAAGAGGAGAAAAAAGAGTTAGGGAGGAAGACAGGAAAGGAAAGACAATGGAGAGGAGAGTTAAGGGAGATAATGGAGACAAAGAGAGACAGTGAAAGAGACGACAAGGAAGATGCAAAGGATAGATGACAGACGAGACAAAAACGAGCCAGTGAAGAAAAAAATGAGATGAAGGAAGGAGAGGAGAAGATGGAGAAAGTAGTGATGAAAGACAGAAGAAAAGGCAAGACAGCAATAAAAGACTAAATGACAAAGAAACTCAGGACATAAGACACAGCAGATAAAGACGAAGGCGGAGCTCTCCAGCTGATGGCAAACCTTTGTGCTATAAATCCTTTTTTCTTACAGAAAGAAACCCGTCTGTCTGAGTCTGTGGAGTCCTGACAGACATCTGTGGTTTATATTCAGCGATATTGATCCCCAAACTCTCTGCTCTCCTCTTTTAATCTCTCATTGTGTTGCTCTGTCGCTCTTCTCAGTCTCTACCTCTTCATCTCAATCTCTCGCTTTTATCTCTGTCTGCGTCTGCCCATGAAAATGATAAATGAGGAAAACGGTCAACATCCCAAGAAGGAAACCTCCCTGTTAGCTCAGAGTGCATAACTAGCTATTAGCGTCTACTGATCTGGCAGGAGCCCTTCGTTATATTGAACAAGGTGATGGGGAGTTTTGTACAGAATCTGATGGCGAAGAAACACCTGTTTTAAGGTCACACAGCTCTCATTGTGTCTTTCATTATCGGTCAGTCTGACATGCAAGTAGGTTTAAATATGAAACTTGGTGACAGCTAGACTAATCCCAATACACCCCTTGCCCCGTGCCCACCAAAGTGTTTTCCCAGCTGAAGACACCAGGTGCTCCTCAGGAAACACCCAGGTGGAAGCAGAGGCGTTTGGTTTCCATCTGGTTGCTACAGAATTACAGCAGAAGTAAAACTGGCAGCGCAAGGCATAGTACTCACTGTGGATGAAGGGAAGGCTGAAGCATGTAGGGAGCAAGGACGGACCCTCCAGTCTGTGGGGTCAAGAGAGGCAACATATTAAGTATATAAACATATTTCTCCTCCATTGTTGTTAAGAATTTCTGTAAGATGTGACATTTGTTCTTTGTGGTATTTGTCCCTTCTACAGTGGAATTGATTGGTAAGAAGAGACAGTCACAAGCGCAGTGTTTTACCTAAAGTTAAGGATATGAACATATTTCTCCTCCGTTGTTGTTGCAGTATTTGTATATGTAAGATGTGACAGTTGGTCTTTGTGGTATTTGTCCCCTCTACGATGAAATTGACTGGCAAAAATTGGCAGTGACAAGCACCCAAAGTTGAGCATTTTTCAACTCTCAGCACAAAAAAGCACAAAACAGACAATCAATGCCTCCTCACAATGCTGGCACTACGCAAATAATTCAATAAATACACTGGCTCCAGAAAAAAAATACGCCTCAGTGGACACCCTTCCATTTTGCATGTTCATACCTAGGGCTTGGGTGTCCTGATTCTTGTTGGGATAGATGGGTAAGGTGAAGAGTTTGGGCTACAAGGCCCTTTAAACAGCGGTTTTTAAGAGGCGCACTCCAAACTGGCAAAGATGGAGGCACAAGCAACAAGGAAACACACAAATGTAGTTTCTTGGTTAATAAATGCTTAAGAATTACAATAACCATTGTATTCTCTTAGTTTAATGTTGTTGTTGTAATGTTTCAGTATATTGCAGTCAGTTTTCTTTTCATGCAAAACAAACAAAAATCACGAGTAGTATGCTAATGACTCAGCTGCTAACTAGCTAGCAAGCAAACATGACATTGTTATTGCTGATTTGTGTATGACAGATCCTGCATTTTGACATAATTCCATGACTTCCCCTCTTGATGACATATGACGCCCAAAATTTAAGTCTAGCAGCAAAGTTGCTGCACTTCTCCTCTAATATCAGTGCAGACTGGCAGGCTAGTAGCTAATGTTAGCCTGTAGAGCACCGCTAGTAGCCTGGTGATAAAGCAGTGTTCTTTTTTATTTGGTGACTTGTTTGATCGATTGCTGCCGTGAAAGTTAAGTTGGGAACAAATCATGAGCGGCCATGCTTTTCTATCTAAAGCCAGCGACTACTCATGATGACGTATCAGGGTCTTGAAGGACTGTCCCATTTCATAGGGGGAGATTTCAACCACTACTGTTTGTAACCCTGTTCTGAGGGGCAAAGAAACAATCGAAAACAGGAAGTAGGGGATAAAAGTAAGAAATAGGAATGGGCCATAGAGTTGCCGACTGATGGCTGAACATTGTTTTTCAGCTTACAAAAAAAAAAGATTACAAACAAGTACAAGAGCTGACAACATTAAAGTGTGGCATGTGGAGAAAAAAAGTATGGACGGGTCTACATTCAGACTAACAGAGTATTTTTGTCACTTGTCAGTATCTCCATTTCTGAAATTGAGATGGAGGAGAATTTAAGTATGTAACAGACATTTTCCGTTACATATTGCATGGTGGGAAACTGTGTCCATCAGCAACAGGACACATGCAGGGCACTGTGGAGACTGAGGCTGTCATGATAAAGCTGCCAGGCTGTGATCTATCTTTGTGGTGAGGATGAAAACAGTCTCTAATGACTCTGCTGAGCTCCTCTTTCTCCACCCTCCTTCTCTCTGTCTGTAAAATGAAACCAAAGCTTGCTGGCTCACTCACTTCCTCTCTATAAACTTTTACTTTTAATAAACTTTAAAAGGTATACCATGCAGGGATTGGCTGTTACGGTTTGTAAACAGTATTACCAGTGAAAGTGAAAGTCAATCCCAGACTGCTTACGGTCTGGCATCTGGTCGCTACCTTTATGTTAAGTCCTGGCCTCAACTGTGTGCTATACCCAGGAGTGTCCCAAACACAGCAAAATAAGACGAAAATAAGAAAATGCAGGCAGAGGGCAGAGTCTCTGCAGATAGATACACCATCACACACTAGGAGTAGGTCATAAGTGATGACTGAGACTGACTACATCTGTATGAGTCACACTGTTTTTTAATAACAGTCAATAAGGCAACAGGCAATCTAATGTAATAAGTAAATAATAAAATATTAATAGTAATATAATATAAAACAGACACAAACAGGAAAAAGCAATGTTTTAAAGTATGTAATATTTCACACTAATAATACTTTAAATTTTTAGCTGTCAGAACTTTCATCCAAAGATATGACAAACGAATGTAATCAAGTTGTCAGCTGAGTATTAGTGTTGGGGAAATGATCAGTTCTTAGATGCATCACAATGCGGACATGGACGATTCAACATCGATTCACAAATAAAAATGATCAATTATCTAAACGTTTATAAATAATGTGATGTTAACAGAAGGAAAGAGGCAGGACTCAACCGCAAGAGCAGCGCAGCACCAAGACGGCCTACAGTGCAGACACGCTAGAGCTGACTTGTAATTTACCTTCACAAAGGACAGGGGTTGTAATCTTGTGTTAATTTAATGTCTACATAATTACGTTTGTAAGGCAAGCATGAAGTATATTGTCGGGATGCAGGGTAATATCTGCATATCATCAATATGAGCTTTAAACTGTCAGAATCACCCAACATTGTATTCCATGTCTCCATCTGCCGATGGGCCGTCACGATAAGAGTATGCATTAGAGTGTGGATACCCGACCAGAGCCCAACGGGACCAATCGGATCCCAACGGGTCGGGCCAGGTTGGGATAACAAATCAGAAATTTTGCTCAGGTTCTGTTCGGGTTTGGCCCACTTGACATGCTGCTGTGTTGTGCTATGGCCTCTTCAAGTGTTGGAATTAGTTATTTACGTGACAATGCCTGAACGCAACACAAGCCAATAGTTACATTTGAGCCAGGAGGTGGTTAATATTGAGACTGAACGAATGAAAATGGAGGACACTAGACAAAACTTGCTATCAGGAAAGTTTAAAACTGCCAAAAACCACGCAGGAAAATCGCTGGTATTGAGGCATTTTGATGTAGTCGTCAATGCAGATCATAACGAAGTTGTTGGTTTTGTAAAATGTAAAATATGTGGGATTTACAATAGGTCAGGTTCGGACTTAAAAATCAGAAAGTCTGTCAGGGTCGGGCAGCGCTCGGTTATAACTGTCGGGTCAGGTTCTGTCAGGAAAATGCGGCCCAAGCCGCGGTCTTATGTGCATGCAAAATATGATGTTAATTCCAGTATATTGTGAATATTTTCTTCTGCCTTCACCCAGAGACGAACATTAATTAAAAGCAAATGAGAGCAGCTGACCAACACGTTGCAGAATTAACCAACTTAAAACAACTCTGTGGCGAAGAAAATAACTCTGTCTATCTGTTTTACTTAAAAAAAACTGCACCTGGCCTGCTCAGCGTCTTGGCTTTCCCTGGAGTGAACACTAGCTACAAGATAAAGTAAATAACAACACAGCATAGCCACGCATACTGTAAATTGCATACTGTTTTCAGTCACATATTACAGTATGGGCGGCACGGTGGTCCAATGGTTAGCATTGTCGCCTCACAGCAAGAGGGTTCCTGATTCGAGGGGTGGAGGGTTCTCCAGGTACTCTGGCTTCCTCCCACAATCCAAAGATAAATGGTGACTCTAAAATAGTTGTAGATGTGAATGTGAGTGTGAATGGTTGTGGTGGTTGTGATAGTCTGGCAACCTGTCCAGGGTCTACCCCGCCTCTTGCCCAGTGTCAGCTGGGAAAATGTTGATGCATCAACCTGCATTGTGAGGCATCGTGTGATGTTTCATCATCGAATTGTTGCCCTCTGAATCGTGAGGTGCCTGTAGATTAACACCCCTACTGGGTACTGTCTGCGTAGCTATGGAAATTCATGTTGTGTTTTCCCAATAATGGAGTGCCACAGGCTGAGAAGAACTGGGCCTAAGTTGGAGCCCTGAGGGACACCACATGTTTAATGTATTGAATCTAAGGAGTCATTGCCCATAGCCACTATATACTACCAACAAATGATGTGGGACCATGGTATGTGACAAGGAGGGAGTCCATATGAGAGTTCAACTCAACAACAATTTATTAACTAAAGTAAACTTTAAAGTAATCTTTCTAGTCATGCCTCTTCATCTTCCCATTTTCAGCTTGTCTCCTAACTTCTTTCTCGTCTCCACACTCCTCATCTTCCTTCTTTCTTCCTCTATATCCTCTTTCCTCAGCCTAACCTCTCTGCTCTGTTTGTTCTGTTTCTCCGTATTCACTTGAAATGGCTGCTGCTTCAATAAAACATCACCTTGACGTTTCTATTGACGTTTAGCAGCCCTCAACTCTTAAAACCTCTGTATCATGCACTGACGTGTTCGCTGAGTGTTACCAGCTCTCAAGGCGCAGCACTTGACTCAACCCCATTTAAGTGAATAGAGAAAAGGCTTTAAGGTGGAATAATGCCTCTCAGCTGCCATATTGGAAGGCTTGACCTTTTGGTCAGCAGTGGGTGTTAACAGCTGATTGTGTTTTTAGGTCTTGTGTTTCTCAATGGATGTGAACAGATGTGGTTAATGTCTGAGTCTGACTCAAAAAGGATCATTCCACCACTTATTTAGATGTATTGGAGTCGTTATCTGAGATTGTGTCAGCAACTTGTAACTTGCAGCTTGTAACTCGTAGGGTGCTTTCAGACCTAGAGTCGTCTCCTTTGGTCTGAATCAGGGACTCATGTTGTTCCAAAGTTGTATAATTGCCTAGAGTTGGTTCGTGTTCTCACGGCAGCATTTACAAGAGGACCAGATCAAATGCCTTGTGTGAGAAAGCTGCTCTTGATTGGTCAGAATTTCCATGTGGGAAAAATCCAGGACGTAAAGCAAACGTTGAAGAAGAGTACACTTGCAAGATAAATGTGACACTTTCTAATGTCACAATGGAGGGACAACTACGCAGGTTGATTTTAGTGCTGCTCATCGTGGACTATATTGCTGTCATTGTTCATTTTAGTCAAACCATACAGTTTGAAAACGAGGTGCGGCTCCAACTAGAAAACAATGTTTTGATGCATTGGATGT